ATATTCATCAACTATAAAAAAAATGAAAAAATCATCAACAAATATTGCAATGATAGTTTGCTCATTTTTACATTTTTTTAATATACAAACATGGTTCTGAAACTGATTTTACATAATCCATATCTATCAAACAATCATTTATTCCGGCATTCCATGCCCTAGCAGACTGCTTCAAGCCATCAACAGCTTTTTTAAGTTTGAGAACACAATTACTTGGACAATTTAAACTAGGAGGTGCCTGCATGTACACTTTTTCTGTTAAAAATCCATTTGAAAATGCAGTGACTACATCAAGATGAGTGATTTCAAAATGTAATTTCACACTCAATGCAAATAGAAGTCTAATTGTAGAGTACCTTAGAACTGGTGAGTAAGTTAAAGAATCTACTCCATGCTGCTGAGTGTAACCTTTCGCAACAAGCCTAGTTCTATACCTAATACTGTTATTGTCTTATGGCTTTTTCTTGAATACCCATTTGCACTGTACTACTCTATCTGCTTCTTCTTGGCTAACAATCTCCCACGCTTGGTTGTCTTCATACGCTTGAAGTTCATCGGACATCGCCAGCTGCCAGACTTTCTCCAGACCATTGATAACTTCATCATAAGTTATATCTTCAGCCCAAGAATCTGGTTCATCTAAAACACAAAGATTTATAAAACCATATCTTTCAGGAGGTTTCCTGATACGCTTTTCCACTTATCGAGGCTCTTCAATTTCAGATAGATCTTCTTCAGACAATATCGGATAAGACTCTCCTTCAGTTGAAGTTGCCCTGATTCGTCAATGTTATTTCACTTTCTTCCATAGAACGTTCCTCTTGTATGGATTGCTGTTTTTCTATCTGTCCTTCGTTTATTTCTATATGAGCGGTATTTTGCTCCATTACAATGACATCTCTGCTAGTACATATCTTTCTAGTATCTGGATTATACAATCTGTAACCTTTCACGTTCTTGGAGTATCCTACAAATATGAATTGAACTGCTTTCTTGTCCCATTTGAATCTTTTACTTTTAGGAACATGCATCATCACTTGGCTCCCAAATATTCTGATATGACTGAGATCAGGCTTTCGTCCTGTCCATACTTCAATCGGTGTCTTTTGGTCCAAACCTGAAGCTGGCGATCTGTTTTTTAGGTAAACTGCCGTGTTAACTGCTTCTGCCCAAAAACTTTTATCTAATTTGGCCACGAACAATAAACATCTTGCACGTTCAACTATAGTCCTATTGAAACGCTCGCTAAAACCATTCTGCTCCGGAGTGTATGGGTTCGTCTTTTGATGGATAATTCCACTATCTTTCAGATAATTTTCCATCATATCTGAACAAAACTCCCCTTCATTGTCGGTTCTTGATATTTTTATCTTTGTTCCTTTTTGATTCTCAACTATTCTTTGAAATTCCTTGAAATACTGTAGAGTCTGATTTTTCATAAAATATACAAATGCCATCTTGCTAGCATCATCAACAAACAATAGAAAATATCTTGCCTGTCCAATCGATCGAACCTCCATAGGCTCACAAAGATCTGAGTGAACTGAATCTAGCACTTCTGTACTTCTATGGTTTCGTAATTGGAATGGTAAACGACTCTGTTTTCCTTCACAACATACTTGACAGTTGGATTTTTGAATATCTGCCTTCATATCAAATGATATTCCATCTACAGCACCATTTTTCATCTTCTGCAAATCATTACTATTAATGTGTCCTAATCTTCTATGCCACTGTTTTGCATATGTAGTTTGAACTGCTGCTGCCAACACTTTCTCTGACTTCATGGTATTCAACTTATACACACCATTCTGTAAATTTGCTATTCCAATAAGCTCATTTTGTTGATTGTGTATATAACACACATCACTTTTGAAAGTAACTTTGTTTCCTCTTTGCTATCAACTGGCTTACTGATAATAAGGGTAAATTTTCGT